TATCCCAGCGCCTGACTATGATGAAAAGTGCCAAAGCTGCTTGAGCTGACGGCCTGTCAGCTGAGCTATTTAATTACGATGGAAAGGAGGTAATAAGATGCATGCTCGACGACTGGAATTCAAGTGCGCTCTGCCCAATCCACAAGAAAGGCGACCCCGCCATGCGTGTCAACTACCGCGGGATCAGCCTTCTAAGCATAGGTTGCAAGGTCTTATCGAATGTATTGTCTACCATAGACCAGGTATTCACAATACGCCAAATCTTGGAAAAGACCCGCGAGAAAATGATCGGCACTCACCACCTATTTGTCGACTTTAAAGCCGCTTTCGACAGCACTAAAAGGAGTTTCGTATATGCCACTATGTCTGAATTTGGCATCCCCTCAAAACTCATACGGCTGTGAAAAATGACGTTGAGCAATACCACCAGCTCTTCTCTGTTCGCCCCCAGACGGGGTTTCAGACAGGGCGACTCTATTTCATATGACTTCTTTAATCTGATGTTGGAGAAGATAATAAGATCTGCAGAACTGAACCGCTGAGGAATAATTTACTACAAGAGCGTGCAATTTCTGGCTTATGTCGATGACATCGACATCATCGGTAACAAAAACCGCGAAGTCTGTTCTGCCTCTTCCAATTTGGATAGGGAAGCAAAGCGAATGGGTCTGGTGGTAATCGAGGACAACACGAAGTATCTCCTGTCATCAAACAAACAGTCAGCAGATTCGCGCCTTGGCAACCACGTCACTGTTGACAGTTACAATTTCGAGAAAGCAGAGAATTTCGTTTACTTGGGAACCAGCATTAAAACCGATAATAATGTCAGCATGGAAATCCAACGCAGAATCGCTCTTGCCAACGAGTACTGCTTTGGACTGAGTAGGCAATTCAGGAGTAAAGTCCTTTCTCGACGTTCGAAAACTACACTATAAGTCACTCATCATACCCTTGCTGGTATATGGCGAATTAAAATACAGCGGCTCAACTGGCTTGACTATGTCGTTCGAATGGACACCGACGCCCCAGCTCTGNGTAAAAAATTTTTTAGTAAGTAAGTTATTGGTTTCGATTTTTTTTTTGTATGGGCCACCTCTAAATTTCGTTCTGGCTGCGCCCATGCTGCTGGGAGTGTAGTCATCGCGGGATGCAGACAAGTGACTGCTGCAGAAGCATGCAGGGAAACGGTCACGGGTTTCGCCAAGAGCGAGGAGCGGAGACCCAAATAACGATAACTGAACGCCTTCCACTATCGTGGGTCAAGAAGGTGGAAACAAGGGTTCTGATGGGCGATGCCAAAATCTAATATCTCGAGAACCAAAAACGCGTTTTTTTGATACTTTGACCCCGTTTTTTATCAAAATATGGAGCTGGATCAGCACAAAAGAGTCTACCAAAAACTGCTTTAAGATTTGATTAAAAAAAAAATTGCATCGATAACTTAAAGTTGTGATACACAATGGCTAGAGGCGTCGCACTATAGGCAAAACACGATTTTTTTTTTCAAAATCGTAGATCTTCGCTTAGAAAAGAGATAATGGAATGAAATTTTTTTTATCGTGAAGATAAATGATCATATAATAGCTATAAACTATAGAGAAATCACAACAACAATAACTTAACCCTCAAAATACCGTTCAAAATGTCACTTTTTTAATTTTGGATTTTGGCTCCCATTCAACTAGAAAACACTATATTTAATACACCATTAGCACTGTTTCTGAAAGATTGCTCTTTATTTTATCTTGAGACCCAGATTGGAAAAGAAAAGCTACCTTTAAACTCTAATAACTCGTAAACTATCAGCTTTCACAAAAAAAATTATATAACAAAAATGGATATACTGGTCGATATCTTTACGAAAGTGCAGCATTTAACCCCTTAATGCAGAGTCTGTCATATATGAAACGCTTTTTAACCCTTTCAAGGCAGAGGAAAAATGGTTCTCAATATGTTTTCAACGTACTTTTTATTTATTTTTCTTTTTTATTTATTTTTATTTTTATTTATGATATTTTTATTTTATCTTATTTTTTTATTATTATTTTACTATTTGTCTGATGAGGAAATGTGGTGATTTCCGAAATAGCTATCACTTCTACCATTTTTTCAAATTATTGTTGCTTTTCCACAATAA